GCTGCCTATCTGCCTATTGGACAAACTAAAATCGTTCCGGACCACGGGAGTTTCCTGACCACAGAATGCCGGACTAGAGAGGTACAACCTGTATAAGTAACCACAGAATTGTCTTATGAATAAAGAGAAAACTGTATACTATACAGTACTATAATGATAAAAATAAGTGTAGGAGTATATTGTATGTGGGAGACAAATGTTTATCTGGGAGCAGCTGGCGAGGGGGGGCATGGGTGGGTGGCTCCTTCCCTCTCTCTCCCCCAAGGTTCATTTAACACTTCTTTATGCAATTTCATCACAACTCTCATATAATTTAGGATCATTTGGGGCCAGGTTGATAAAATATTATCCTAAAAGAATCAGCTTTCCTGAAGAGAGAATCCCACACTGAACACCACGAGTCATTTCATACTCATTTGTTTACATACACCAAACAGCTGATTGGCTTACCACAATGCCTGTCTTCAACACTTTGTAAATTAGTACTGTACAGTACAGTTGTGTATTTTTTATCACTTAATAAATACTATTGCAGTGTATTTATCACCACTTAGTAAATACTATTGTAGTGTATTTATCACCACTTAATAAATACTATTGCAGTGTATTTATTATCACTTAATAAGTAATATTGTAGTGTAAAGTATTATGTATCTGCATATACCCTGGTTTACTCATTAATCATTTGTTTAAGTGTACTAGTAGCCAAACTGAGTCATCATATAACACTCAAAGGTAGTAAATAACATTTTACAGAAGGTATCTTCATATCAAATACTATACAGTGTGTTATAGTGACCCCTGTTGTAAGTTGGTCTACTGAAAGCTCACAAGAACGCATCTGAGTAAACAACCTTTTGATACAGCTTATCCTTTTATTTTCAAGTCATATTACAAATTACATACAGAATTGTATTTTTTCTCTATTATTGAAGATGTTATATTAATCATGATGAACCATAAACCATAAGAGGCCAATCATATGAGAATATAATACTGAATAAATAAATAAACCTGACAAACGTGGCAACACCTGATCAGCCCCAGCCTGCTTACATACCGTATATACTCGTATGTAGTTTGAGTTTTTAGGACCAAATTTTTAGGCAAGAAATTGGGGGTCGACCTCTACATGGGTAATAGTTTTGTTAGGTTGAATCCGTGCATGATGGGAAGGGCGAGGAGCAAATTTTAGCTTTAGACATGAAAAATATTCACCAGTTACTGCCAGTAAACAATGGAAACATAAAATATGTACCAATTAGTAATGAAAAGCTGTGCAGTGCCTTCAGTAGATGAAGCTCACCAACTTACAATAGGCTAACTTACCTTACAACGTGCTTTCAGTAGTCTATGTTGAAGTTCTTAGCACAGGCTAACTTATCATATCATATATGGTATCACAATTCTCATTGATCTACAAAAAATACCGGTAATAAAAACCTTTTCGATATTTCACACTTAATATAATACCCATTAATCCACCTCAACCTCATATTGTTACAACAATGCACGACGCACCACCAGCTGTTGAGTATCACGGTACACGTGTTTTTCGAATCGTTTTCAGTAAAAAAAATGTTTCATCACAAGTATATTTTACCTTAACAGCGCCTGAATGAAAATATTCTCAAAAATAAATACGTAGTAGTTTTGCTGAAATGTGATGTATTTCAATGTAAAATAGGATAAAATACATGACGAAAACAAGATTTTACCTAACCTTCCGATGTTCAAGAGATGTTACTCGTTTTTTAATAGTTTTCGGTTAAAATACTGTTATATTACAATGATATTCTATTCATACTGTGCTTGATATAATACATTCACGGAAATTTAATATTTTTGCTGAAATGACATACGTATTACAGTGGAAAGTGGGATACAACCATGACGAAAACAATCGACTTTCGCTTTTTTTCATTGTTCAAAAGATGTTACCATAATCGCTTTTCGATTGGTTTTCAGTTAAAAAAACTGTTGTATTACAATAACATTCCCTCCTAATTGACTTGAATAAATACTTGAATGGAAATATAAAATATTTTTGCTAAAACTACCCGATTTTCAGTGTAAAGTGTCGCAATAATGGTAAATAATTTGCCTTCGGCGCTCGGTGTTTCAGGTACAGTCAGTTCTGCTATAACGCAATAGTTGTGTTCTTGTAAAATATCGTGTTATAGAAAATCGCGTAATAGAAATAACAGGGCTTATGGAGAAAATAGGGTTAGGTGCAGATTACTCCTCGAAATCGAAAAAAATTAGTAGTTAGCCTAACACAAAGGATAGCAGTCTAAATAAATGTTACATTCATATCTAATAATGAAATCATACAGTAATTGTAACACTTTACCTTGAAAAAATATGAATATAACTTGATGGGGGAGAAGGGTGATTTTGAGGTTGATAACATCGAGCTTCTCTTCAAGTGTTATATCCTTTCTTTTACGATCATCACCGGGAATGCGATCAACAGAACGCTTCTTGGAGATATTCTTCTTTACCATATTCACAGTTAATACCACAAAACTGGAGAAATAGTAAGCAAAAATCGCGTTACAGCAAACAAGCGTTCGCGTTATACAAATATCGTTCCTCTATTCATAAATCGCGTTAGAGCAAATTCGCGTTATCAAAACACGCGCTATAGCAGAACTCACTGTACAGCGACCCAGTTTATAGGACGGAGAGTGTTTTTACTGAAGGTTTTGTTGTTCCATTACCCTCAAAAACTTGGGTCGACCTATAAACGAGGCATATCATAAATTAATGATTTCTTGGTCAAAAAATCAGGGTCGACCTATAAACGAGGTAGAATTATAGACGAGTGTCTTAGTTCTCAGTAGGCTTATAGCAAATCTGATTAGATCACTGTACAGTATTCAGTAAGTAATGTTCGTATCATAAGATTTGTTTTTTATTTAATCTTCCCCATTTCTTAAACTTTTTTTTATGTATTCCTGGAGACCAGAGCACCTCAGAGTCTGAAAAAAGCAAATTTCGATATATCGAGGTTTTACTGTACAGGCCCCCCCCCCACCCCCCCAAAAAAAAAATTGCTGGGGTTAGGTTCTCAAAACGGCCGCGAATCGCCAAATCCGCGAATAATATTTGCGGACCATTTTTACTTGTGTACAAAGAAATGTACTGTATATTCCATTTTGTGTTTGCCCTTAGGACAATTATTTCTTTTACCTGTAATATTGAATATGTGTGTGTGTGTAGACACACACACACACACACAAAACAAATACATATAAATAATAATTGGAAAATCCTCCTACAAATAATCAGAAACAAATTTATTAAAAATGTGAGTCTACCCTCAAGTCCGTGCTCTATTACAGTACTTTATTAGAGCACAGACTTGAGGGTAGACTGTTACACTTTTAGTAAAATTGTTTCTGATTATTTGTGAGAGAATTTTCCAATTATTATTTATTTTTATGTGTTTTGTGGTGTTTTTTTTGTGTGTGTGTCTACACACACATAATATTTACAATACAGGTAAAGGAAATTACTGTCTCTAGAACGAATGGCTCCCTGTCCCAGCCTCGAAAATGCCGGAAACTTTAAAACTACCCACAGACATTCTTGAGTACATCGAGGGTGTCATCCGCAAATAACCAAGAACCGTGAAGTAAAAATCCACGAATTTGGGGAGCATACTGTATACAGGTATTAGTGTACTAAGGTATTATGTAAGTGGCTACAGTAGAATGTCAATTTAAAAAGATTCAATTCAAGATTATTGATTTAAAGCAACACCCACAATTAAGGACAATGTTTTAATTTAAAGCGAATCTTTCCTATTTTGCGCGAGTCAATCTGGTGCATCATATTTTAAAATTCGCGCCTAATGTTTCTCTGGGCACGCTACACTGTCCTAAAGACAAAGCTGTACTGTACATGTACTCAAAATAATGTACTAAATGATTATTAAAATTTTTGTCTGTACAATCTATGGCATGTTTCTATTCAAATTAATCACTATCTTATAAGAATTCCAGCAATGTAAATTATATTCTCCCTGGTCACTTTTGTGACATTTTATATATAAAAAACAAAAACTCGTTCTGAAGGACTAAATAAACAAATAAATAATTCACTAGACCTTCAGCCCCAACTGTCAAACTTGTCACTGTCACCCCCCTCCTCCCAGCCAGGGTTGGGTGGTTATAGGCTCACAGTTTTTATCTTATATAATATCACAGACTAAAGTTAGGAGAATATAGTTTGTATTGCTATAATCCTTGCAAGACAGCGAATAATTTGAATATAAATGTCATATATTCTGCACAAGATCTTTTATTTTAGCCCTTTGTAATAAAATTAGTAAGAACTAAAATTTTTATGTCTAATGCAGACTATAGCATGTCTATATTCAAACTAATCACTATCTTATAAGAATTCCAGCAATGTTAATTATATTCTTCCATGTCAGTTCAGTGACATTTTAAAAGAGAAAACTCAGTCACTCTTAAGGACAGATAAATAAATAAGTATTACAGTAGACCTTGGCATAAACTGTCAAACATATCACCCCCAACTCACCCCCCCCTCTCTTCGCATCAGCTGATTGCTATTAAACAGACAATTTCATGTCCCATAACTTTAGCTGTGTTGATTTATGAGTGTTTGTTTTAACATAATACTACAAAAAACAATGTTTTGTTTATTCTAGGAGATGGGCTGAGGTGCATCTGGGTAGACTGTCAGTCATTTTAGTATTTTGTGTTTCTCTCAAGTACCAAACTAAATTATTCCATTGAAACAACACTTCGATTAGTGCGAATTCGGTTTAAAGCGACCTCTCTTGGAAAGTATCTCGTGTTATATCGACGTTCTACTGTATTTGAGAATATGCCATTTCCTGGAACCTGACCCTTGTGAATGGCAAGGGTTTACTGTAGTGGAATTTTCTTCTTTTTTTTTGGGGGGGGGGGTATTTTTGGTGTGTACAACTAATGGAAAGAATAATAAAATGGAATAATTCTTACCCTATAATCATCAAAGTCTTTCACTTGTATTTCTGACCCCTTGGCTCTTAGTGCTTCCATTTCTTCCACACCAAATTCCAGGGCATAAAAACCTAGAATATAAAACTTTTATTAACTCCAAAAATGTATCATAAAATAACTTGTACTACATATTCTTATATTCAAATAAATATTATTAAAATCTCAAGACTTCTTATTTCTTAAAATATTATTGGGGAAAATAAAAACAATGAAATTCACAGTTTCAAGTTATCATACTCACTATTAGCACCATATGTTGCTACTTTTTTCAAAAACTCAGCAAAATTTTCTCGACGCATTAAGCTGCCTTTCTTAAGCTTGTTTCTATTAGGGAAGAAGGTTTGGTCAAAGGGTGTAACACCATCTTCTGTGATGGTACTCAGAGCCTCTGCAAGTTGTGCTGATACATTAAATCCTCGCCTATGGAAAATTAAACAGGACTTATAGATTCAAATTCCATCTATAATAATAAAAGGACGTGTCTGTCTGTCTGTGAGCGTCTATGTCTGTCTGTTCTAGCCATAGCTCCAAAATGGAAGCAGTTAGAGACCTGAAACTTTACACACATATTACATGGGACCCAAGGTTGTGCACCTTAGTAAGTAATATCTTCGTTAGCCGGAATCCCTCAAACCCGGAAATCTCCGATAGCCGGAATTGAAATTTGCTCGGAAAATCATCCCCAAAGCCAAAATTTTCCCAAAAATTCTGGCTTTAGGAAAAAATTTCCGAGGTTGAAAATTGAGAGAACTTTCTGAGGATGTCTTGAATAAAGGTGAAAGTTAAAGTATTTTTTTTTTTGGTGGGGGGTGGGGCCTGACCTGACTCAATGTCAGGTGGAGGTAGGGTGAGGGATTAGTGGACTTATATTTCTGACTTTCTGATGGAACGTCAGGTCACCCTTTCTTGGGTGGGGGATCAGTGGGTCTCATGACCTGAAGATATCTTGAATAAACATAAAACTTTAAGTATTTTTTGGGTAAGAATAAGTATAAATGAGGTAAGTTGTATCCCTTCAACATTACATGACATTACATTTTAAAACATGGAGTGAGAAAAGAGTGGTAACATGCACCAGTGTTGCCAAGCACTAAGATCCTCAACAGCTGATCTTTTAATTCGCCTCTATGCAGTCACACAAGACGACCCTCACTGTATGCTTATTGCCTTAATTCCCGTGTGTGTGTTTTTTGAGCTTTCCAAGCACACTGTAGGATTTGAAGAAGTTGATGAAGAGTTTGTTCAGGAGTTAGGTGGTGAGGTTGTGGGGTATGGGATGTTTGGTTCAGACTCAGGATGGGATGGAGAAAGGAAACTCACAATGTGCTCTCTGTATACATGTTGTATTGGATGTACAGTGTAGCTTGGTGCTGGGAAGGCAGCATGGTTACAAGCGTGATGTAGAGAGAGCTGGTTGGTGAGGGTGCTCAGAGGAGGACAGCTTGTGGGTCGCCATGCTCGCCGGCGGGAGCGAGGACCGCCAGGCAGGCGAAGGAGGAGGAGGTGTTGCTGGCTGGTTGGTGTAGGTAGAATGAGAGGGTGGTCACCACGAGGTCAGGTCTTAAATAGCGGGGGGTAGGCGTGGCTTAGCAGTTGACCCCCGCCCCGTGGGCGGCGCTGGTTGACCTAGACCACGAGGCATACACTGGGGAATTCGTGGGGTCGGCTACTCAGCAACAAACAGCGTTTGTAGGGGAGAAATCCACTACAAGGTGACATGCCAAGACACTTACACAACACACATATTAGTGTGTGTGTGTGTGTGTTTTGACCTTACACAACACACATATTAGTGTGTGTGTGTGTGTGTGTGTTTTGACCTTACACAACACACATATTAGTGTGTGTGTGTGTTTTGACCTTACACAACACACATATTAACAGCACTGCTAAACCATTGTGTTATAACATTTTACATTATAGTTTATATTTCAAAATTAACTGATACATGATGGCTTAACTGGGCCACTTTTGTACTTTGACAACTAATCAATGAATAAACCAAGGCATATGGAGACAATTATATATTAGTGATGTCACAAAGCTTTGAAACTGCAACCACATAAATTATCACAACCTGTACAGTACTCAAATGTACTAAGTTAATTTCTAAAACTATTATGTATGGTGCAAAAGAAGGGATGTTTATACTCAAATTAATGGCTATGTTACAAGAATTTCAGCAATGCAGGTTATATTTTCCTGAATCAAGTCAGTGGCATCTTAAAAGCAAAAAAAATAAAACCCCACTACTGTACCTTTCAAAAGCCTTGAGTATGCGTAAATCTCCTTCCGCCTCCCAGCTGGAGAAAGGTTCTGAGGTGGAAGTGACCGTGACCCCCCTAAAGCCTAATTCCTGTGTGTGTGTGTGTGTTTTGGAGTGTTTTTGTGGAGTGTTTTTTGTGGGTGTGTTTATGGTGTGTGTGTGTGTGTGTGTGTGTTTTTGTAGGTGTTTTTGTGGAGTGTTTGTGTGTGTGTGTGTGTGTGTGTGTGTGTGTGTGTGTGTGTGTGTGTGTGTGTGTGTGTGTGTGTGTGTGTGTAATATAATAATAAACGGTTTTGTTAGAAAAAAGTTTGCAGCCCGAAGGCTGAAAATACATTGGACATAAATGACATTACATACATTGGTGTTGGTTAAACAAAGCCTTCATTAGAGAGAGAAGTAAGGAACATAAGTGTGTGTGGTTATGTGTGTGTGTGTGTGTGTGTGTGGGGTATATGTGTGTGTGTGTGGTTATGTGTGTGTGTGTGTGTGTGTGTGTGTGTGTGTGTGTGTGTGTGTGTTGCGAAATAAGTGATGTTCATACTCAAATTAATCATTATCTTACAAGAATTCAAGAAATACAAGTTATATTCTCATAAGTCAAGTCAGTGACATTTTATAAGCGTTAATCTATCCTTCGTGGGGGGGGGGGGTAAAGTGACCGTGCCACCCCCCTCCCCCAAAGGGTCGCCTCACTGTTTGTCTACTGTACCGACTCATTCATGATACAATATTGTTTATTTGTTTTTCATTAATTAGTACAGATATGTTACTGTAATAATCCGTGCTTATTAACACATGTTCCCTTCATATAAAATACAGTATAGTACTATGTACGAGGTCTGTCCAAAAAGAAACCAAACACATAAAAATAATTTTTATTGCTTTACTTACAACTTAATCAGACTTGTCTCCTTCAAAGTACTCCCCTTCACTGTTGATACACCGCTCCCAACGTTTTACCCAGTTCTGGAACGCGTTTTGAGGGATGGTGCACGTATTTTCTTCTATCTCTTCTATCGTCTGAAATCGGCGACCTTTCAGGGTGGATTTCAACTTTTGGAAAAAAAAAAGTCCGCAGGGGCCAAATCCGGAGAGTAGGGCAGCTGGGGGACGACAGTCGTCTTGTTCTTCACCAAAAAGTCACGGATAAGGAGCGACGCGTGAGCAAGTGCATTGTAATGGTACAGCATCCAGGTCTTGTTTGTCCACGCCTCAGGCCTCTTCCTTCGCACTGCCTCCCTCAAACGCTTCAGGACCTCCAAGTAAAACTCATTATTGACTGTCTGACAATGTGGAACAAACTCATGATGAACGACCCCCTTCCAATCAAATAAGACAATCAACATCACCTCCACATTTGAGCGACTCTGACGTCCAGATTTGGGATCGTCTTCGGTGGATGTTCTTCCCCTTTTGAAACGCTGGTACCACATGTGACATTGCGTATGGCTCAAACAATCCTCCCCATAAGCCTGTTGCAACATTTGAAAAGTCTCCTTAAAAGTTTTTTCCCATTTTGAAACAGAATTTCACACAAACACATTGCTCTTCAAGATCCTTCTTTGTTCAACTTGCAACAAATCGCCAAGTGCATGAAACACACGTTCAATCTAGCGCGTGTAGCTCGATGACTAATTGACGTGGCGTGATGCGGCTAGTGTTAGACTAAAGGTCAAGGTCACCGCTACACAGCGCTCCCGTCGCAAGCATGATGCGCCGGCTTGTTGGCGCGCTATTTAATTTATTTATTTTTTTGACAGACCTCGTATATAACTCATGGGTTAAAAATAATGCCATTCAAGACATATTCAGGTCATAAGACCCACTAATTCCCCACCCAACACTGGATGACCTGACGTTGCATCAGGTCAGGTTAGTAACGTGACCCAATAATCTCCCACCAAACCTTCATCACAAATGTTAAGACATGATTAGTTATGTATTTGTACAGTCAATTGAGTGAAGTGTGTAACAGAAGTGACGATCGTCCAAGCGACTAAAGAGCCGATCAGCAGTGAAAATAAAAGAAACAGTGCTCTTCCCACCCTTATCATATACAGTGGTCCCTCGGTTTTTTTTTCTTTACTGGGCACCCCCTTACATCCTGTGCAAGGTGAAGAGCAGAAGCGCCTACAGCTCCCAACTGGGAAGCATGCTAAGTTCATGCTTGTCTTTATGTCTCATGAGTTATGGGCGTAGAAGCCTGAAGGGTCATAGTTTTTTTGTCGAAGGTGTAGAAGCCTGAAGAGTCATAGGTTTTTTGTCAGCAAGTTATTGGAAGCTCCAACAACGAGGGAGACAGGGAACTGACCGTGCGACCCCCAAAGGACACATATACCCCTAACAAGGAAATTAAGACAGCAGACATAAGGAGTAAGGGTCTTATTGTGTGACAAATTTGCGTGTGTGTGACTGTGTAGGGTCGGGATATATCGCGAGATAGGGTCCAAGGATGTTCGCTATATACTAAATCACGATGTATAATTACATGTATTCAATGGGGAAAATAGGGTTAGGTTCTGGAGGCTAATAAAAGTGACTAAACTGGACATAAAATGTCACAGACTAAAGTTAGCAGAATATAAGTTACATTGCTGGAATCCTTGCAAGACAGTGAATAATTTGAATATGGACATCATATATTTCTCACGAGATAAAAATGTTAGTCATATGTACAGTTGTACCCCACTTAACGCGGTCAATTGAACCCAGAGGGTCCCGCGTTAAGTGACTGCATAAGTGAATAACAGAACATATGGGATTAATTCCAATAGAACCCAGCCCGACCCCAAACTCCACTTTGTAGCTACAAATAACTGTTGTAGTAAAAAATAACATCTTAATTTTATGATGGTACATGCACACAATTAATACTTAGAGAAATAGAAATACAGTTGCATAAGTTAATGTCCATTCAAATAATGGACTCAACTCCCTCCCCTCTTCTCCACTACACTCACTGGCTCTTCCCTCTGAGAAATTTTGAGAAAACCAGGTATAGTAATAAATAATTCTCAAATAAAGTTAGATAATATAATTGACATTTGCGGATTCCTTGTAAGACCAGGAATATTTTGAATATAAATGTCATATATTTTCAAAAGAATACCATATTTACTCCAGAATAAACTTACATCAAAAATTTGTATGTCTA